CTTCTATTAAAAAAGAATAATTGTAATTCGTGAGAAATCATTTTGTCCCTTTACATTTTGGATAAACTGTCTTTGTTGTTTTTGTTAGTAAACGATTTTCTTTAAGCATTTTTTCGCTTAACAGAAGATTTTTATGCTAATAAAGACCATTAACCATGGCAAAAAACAGCTACTCAAAAAGCACGATATTGCAACATATATTCCATTCCCATTCATTACTGTTCAGACGATTTTTTGCCTCATTAAATTCCCACTGGCAGTATCTACAATTTTTATCCTTTTATTATTTTTTACACAATTAAGTCGAGCAGTATTATTAGCTAAATTTCATTAAATCTGCCTCTTAAGTAATCAATAACCGTCCATTTGGGACACACTCGACCTCCTTCGTTTCATTTACATACAAGAAGAGACAAATTGATCGTCAATTCGTCTTGTAGCCGAAATTGAATACAGTGATTGAGATAGTTTTAAATTAAAGGATGCGTTCTGAACTAAAATGTCTTAGGGCTTGACGGGCCTGTCGTTTTTAATAAAGAACGATATACAGAATGAAGACAGTTCAGAAAAGGACTCAAATCCGCACCGCCTTTCAAACACCTTACGATGTAAACAATTTGCGGGAAGCCTTTTGACAAATAGATAAAAACCCATTGTACTCGGCTTAAAGAGAGTAATTACAGTTGACTCCGTGTGTTTATAGAACAGCTTGAAGTCTTTTCTATTCTTTGAAGAGAAGAAAAAGATTGGGACATGATATGAAACTCGTATACCAAGAAGTTGCCAAGGAAATCTAACAAGTTGCATAAAATAAAACAACCGATTTTATTTTAATTTGAAGCCAAAGGATAGCCTCAAGGACAACTAAGTGGTAATTTAAAGAAGAGCTACGTGTAAGGCCGGAGTGAGTCAGCCGTCTTTATTGGCCTCAAAAAGAGAAGTTTGAGTGTGTTTAGTCGACAACGTCACGCGGAAGATTTACTTAGGACTCGTCCACACGAATCCAAATACTTCTAAATCCGAATATCTGTTAAAAGAATCGACCTTTCCTCAGCGCGAAACTAGTAAATCTTGGCCCATTCGTGTAATTTCGTGTAGACGGGGAGGAAGGGGTCTTAGAGGATTGACAATAGCCTTATGAATCGTATCGCTGGTCAAGATCGCGTTCAGTGCATTTCAACAGTTGATGCTGTCGATCTCTCACTAAGAGATGAATCAGAGCTTTCTCTAGTTTCTAAAGAAACCGTCAGTGGGGAGTGAAATAGGAAGATTTTGAGAGAGTTGCTGAGGTAGATTAGCCACCATAGGGATATTGAGAAGCTGACGTTTCGTCAGGGCACAGGACGAAGGCCTTAAGCTTGAAACCGTAAGCTTCTCAATCATCCTTATGGTGGCCAATTCTACCTTATCAACTCGTTTGATACTGAAAACCCAATTTTTTTTTCTATGTTAATAATAGTCGCTGGTCACAAATACGCAAAACCTTACAAAATTAACTTAGAACTGAAGTACATCCAGCCAGACAAACCTGCAAACTTCAATTTTTTCGCAAGTCTTTAATGAGCGTCTTTGTCGTTTGAATTTCCTTGCCTTAAATTAAGATAAATTTCACAGAATATTACCCTCCTGTAAGCAAGCATTTTTTTTAAGTCTATATCAAATATTTAATTTGGAAGGCGTTTTGAAAATGGAGGAGATCTTTTATCTTATTATATTTTAGTTCCAAACGGCTTCAGACACTGTTAAGATTAAGAAGAGTCCTGCCGAAATGCCATCTCTTGAGGTCTTGATGTTGCCCAATGCAACAGTGTCCTTCGTAACCATTTCACCAGTGGTACACGGCAGCCCGGAGATGTACACAGAGATGGACAACGAAGTTGTGCAGTCTACTCGAATGCGCGCTATCGTAACCAGCCAATGTACTATTTGCGCTGTACATCATAAATTTGGAATTTTAAATGACCTAGATCGAAAAGACCGGTTTTCCCATGCAATGCAGAATCGCAATCATAGGTATATATCCTGCTACGGACCTGAATTGTTGTTTACTACATTAATTTCCGTGACTGCTGTCATCTGAAATTAATAGTGTCATTCATGCGATCGTTTTCAGCCAATAAAATGGCGACGAATTTAATCGGTGGGCTACCGTTTTCGACATGTAATTACTTATAGAACATTCTCCGACTTAAGCTAGAAAATATTGTCTCAAAATGTTTGATGCTTTTAAAAGCCGCATGTAACGGGGTAGTTTTCCTCCTGAAAAGCATGTTAGAACGCTAGTGTTTTCTTCCAGGGAAATAGCAACCTCAGTAAACGAGAGACGGAACCGACCAAAAGTAAGAACTGTAATGTATTTTATCATTATATAAAATATTATTTTTTTACAATTCTATGATTCTGTAAACACCATACTCTTTACTTCATGTTTTAATATTTCACCATGCAAATTTTTGTTGATTGTAATCTTGCCTTGAGGATAATTTAAACAGCTTAAATTACTCGAAGACGTGAAATAGAATTGCCACTTTCTTCTTGCAGTTGTTGTCGTAAAATAATGTAATGCAAAGTAACAGGTAACTCAAAATCATTTCCCAGTGTTTTTTTCGTTTTGTTTTGTTTTGCTTTTTTCATTTTCCAGTGTTGAATAATAATTACAACCCGGGGGAAATCTCATTTGAAAGTGACTAGGATGCTCGAGAGTCTTCTCCCTTAAGGAGTAGATTTTGCAGACTTTGTTGGAGCACGTTCTCTTTGAAAGGGGGTCAAACAAAGCCAGAGCCACGCCCCGACGAAATGACCTTCTCTAGCTCTTTGGGGTTTAATTCTGGTTTGTGGACGAAATCTCCGGTCTCTTAAATAATGATCGGAGTTCTTCCCCCCCCCCCCGGAAATAACAACAGCTTCGTGATTGCCATTCTCGATATCAGCTGTTTTATAGAACTACCACGACACCCATTAAATAGCTCACGATATTAACATGCTTGTTTTTATATTAAGCTTTTGTAGGAACTGTTAATTGTTTCATGTGTTTATGTAAATTAGTTTTCACAGTAAACGCCCTTAGCCTCGGGGATGTAACTAGAAAATTGTAGCGCGGTCTCCAAACCCACGGAGATTAAACGTCGCGTGATGTAATAGGTTCGCATATTTTGTGCGCTCATTGATGAGCTTTGAAAAAATAAACGCTTGATTGCTGCTCACGGTATTTCCTGGTATCAGCTGATTTTCAACTACCACAAGACCCACTAACACACTTTATTTGGAGGCTTGTTTAATGACTTTTAGCAGTTGTCCCAATATCGGTAAAAAAAAAACCTTTTAAAGCTTTATATAATATGTAAATTAGGTTTGTGAAATACCGCAGCCTCGGGGCTGTAAGTAGAACATGACAGAGTACAACTAATACAGTCTCTAGCACCAGGGATCTTTACGAATTTAAAACTTAAGGCATTTAAGAGACCATATCCCTTTTTATATATACAGTATATGTGAAGACATATCTCATGTAAATCTTTTTAATGTCATCGGTTATCTCGGTAGTATTGCATTCAACGTGATTAAAATTCACAGGGGCTGATGCGTTTCTATTAAAAGGTGCTAAAACAAAGCCGGATTACATTAGAATGAGACATGTACTTATGTTTTGGTACTCTGTACCCCGTGAACATAAAATAGATTAGGTGGAACGCCATCATGACCTTAAAAACAACATAGTTTCCGTGATGATTCTTGAGATGATACTCTCCAAGGGAGGTCTCGATCACGAAACGATAGCGAAAAACGTGCAACGGGAAATTACATTCATCTACCACTTTGAACTCTTATACATGCGAACCATTCAAATAAAAACATCGGGCCGCTACAGTTAAACATCGACATGTGAACATTTTTGCCTTTCAGTAATGTGGACATGTATCTCGATGACCGCGATGAATCGTCGATAAGGCGTATGTTGTTACGGCATTCGGAATGCAAGAGGCTGCTCTCCCATCCTTAATTTTATTCCGAGGTTAGTCATCTACTGTGCTGCTTCCTTTTCAAGAACTTCACTATTTTCGATGACCCTAGTCTCGCGTTATCAACAAGTGAATTGTCATCATTTTTTCCTCGTTAGTAAGTTCACTAGTAAATCAGATGATACTACAGCTCTTGAATTTAATTTATGTCTTGAAACCTGTCGATAGTTATATTCTAGCAAGAAACAGTAAGATAGCGTTCAATCAATGATAGTGACCATCATTATCATCACCTTCATTATCACCAAAATTAATTGAACTTACAACACGGAGGGCCACTCTCCTGGTTCTAAGCAATCTCCCCGATAACTCGATGGATGCACGTTGCATATCATAGCCAGCGTTGAGAGCGTTTTCTTCGGGTGCCCGAAGTCTAAAAGAAGTCGAAAAATGGGCCTAGCCTTGTTCTTTAGCCCTAACGACTATAGCCTGTTCCAGGCTCCGAGAGAGTCTGGTCCGCTGAATTGAGAAAGCGTGCCTTTTTCTTTCGCGTCTCCCCCACTATCTGAGAGCCTGGAACATGCTATAACGACTACTCTAATTAAAAATGGCGACCACGGCATTACGAACAATAACAAGCTTTTTTTTTCGCACGCCCAAAATAATACATGCTGGAAGTTTACCAGCTCTTTATGTGCTAAAGGTCCACTGATAAACGCTTTGAGACAATGTCCCTTTTAATTTAAAAATCTCTCCGTCATTTTCTTACTCACAGACAACTTCCCAAAATTTTCAGGTGCCTTATATTTTCTGCAAAGTTGACCTGTATATAGCGGTCACCATGTATATAACGATGACCTTGCCATTTCTCAAGGGTGGCCGTTTTACACAGGTGTGACTTTAGCTGCGTGATTTTACTAACACCATTTTCACCTCGCATCTAGGTGAAGATCCGCATCCTAGTTTACAGAAAAGCGACCCCTCTCTAACAGAAACAGGAAGATAAATTTGACTCTTCTGTTCTCCTGAAGATTTCATACGATGAACAACACAACTCAAATACTTAAAACGAACAGCAACACAAATTGGCTGGATATTCTTCAGTACACATTGTTCACCTTGATATTTGTGGTCAGCGCTTTTGGAAACACGCTAGTGTGCTTGGTGATAGCAACCACAAGACGCATGCGTACTACGCGTAACTATCTACTTGTTAACCTTGCTGTATCAGACCTAACGGTGGCGTTGTTGTGTATTCCGTTTGATATGGTAGTGAAGATAACTGAGCCTGAATGGCAGCTAGGGGATGCGATGTGTAAACTTCTTTGGCCATCTATGACACTTGTAACTAATTCTTCTGCGGCTACACTTGCCATTATAAGTTACGATAGGTGAGTTTACTAAAGTGATTACAAGCTTAGAGAATATTGCCTCTATAAGTACCACGCAGTTATCAGCGAACACGAGCAACAAAGTTACACGATCAGGGCATAACGCGGTTTCTATAGCATTAAAGGAGCTGTGTAACGAAAGTCAGCCAAATTAGGTTATTGCAAAATGCCAGTTAAATTAAAAGAAACATAAAAATAACCGCTTAAAACATTCAAGGAAGGTTAAAATAACACAACAGATACAACAGCTGCCACGGATGGGCAAAACTGAAGAAGATTGAAACGGATTGAAATTAGGGTTTTTGAAGACTGTTCCGCCTAACAGTTTTTCAAAGTTTATCTCTGCTGTTTGAAGCTTCAAAAATAATGCTCAGGGGACATATTTGTTTGTCTCTAATCTCTGATTTTGTCATTTACATGTAATTTCTTTGCTTACTTTAAGTTCCATAGCGATTGAGGGCGAATAATTGGCAAAATAAAACAAAATGAACTGGACTGCCGTGACACAGCCTCTTTAAGTATCCTTGAGTATTGCAGCTCTCTCCTGGATGGGGCTGTTCCCTAACGGTATGTCACTAGTATTCATTTTAAAATCTGGTAGCCCGCGAACAAGCTCTTTTTTCCGAGTGGCATCAGAAGCGCGCCTCGCGAGGGCGCTCGATCAGGGGAAACGGCGATGGACGGGAAACAGTCCACCCTTGGTTTTTTCGCTTGTCGCTCACGCATGACTTCTTGCGAAACTACCACGCTTCCATAAACTGTTTCCCTCAAGATGGCAGTTACAGAATTAAGCCACATTTCATGACACAACCATCACAAAATCTATCACTGCGCATAAGCACATATCGACATTCCAGTCTTGGCAGTATGCAGGATGTTTGTCACCTAAACCTAGTTTAGCGGCCTTAGCTCCCACAGGTGTCCTGTAGCTTAGTGGTAGAGCATCTGGACAAGCAACCAGGACTGGACATAGGTAACACTCCTAATGGGATTACTCTGATTTTTTCTTCCGATCAGTTTGTGTCACTGACTGAAAAATAAAACACCTTTTTATCCTTTACAGAGAGTTGGCTGTTTTAAAACTGTAAAAGGACTTAGAGCGCTGAGGAATAATAATGTTAGATATTTTTTAATGAAGCTCATTCACCCAGTTCATTGTCATTTTTCTTTTTCCTTTTAGGTATCGGGCAGTGGTTCGTCCAATGAAATCGCGTTTCACTACTCGTCAGATTGGAATCGCTATAGCAACCATCTGGCTTGTTTCTCTGGCGCTTGTTCTACCTTACGTCTTAGCTTTGAGGGTAAATAAAAAGCATTGCGAGGAATTCTGGCCAAGTATAACCATCAGAAAAATTTACACTGTAGGCTTGTTCTTATTCCAGTATGCCTTGCCTCTTACAATTATCGCGTTAGCTTACATCAAAGTTGTGCTTAGGCTCCGACAGCAAGCTGCGCGAATGTCGAAAAACTATGAACTCACAACGAGACCACCTTCGACACCACTGACACAGAAAAACTGCAGTTTAAGGACTCGTCTCACCGTAGAAATTTGTGATAAGGCATCGTTGGCGTCCCCTCTTCCAACCAAAAAGGAATTTACATATCAGGTCGACAAAAGCAAACATAAAAAGCGCTCTAGGAAAAGTGATAATCTTACAAGCCAAACGATAGTTGATAAACAGTCTTCTGCTTCCTCCCTTCCACCTCAAGGGAAGCTGGTTTCAGATGGGAGTAGAGGGCGTGGTGGGAGGGTGTATAAAGAGGCGAGGAGGTTGGAGCACAACACCAAGATTGTTAAGATGCTTGTCTCGGTGGTTCTTTCATACGCTATTTGCTTAATGCCAAACCAGGTAGTATGGTTATGGATTGAGCTTGGTTCAGGTAAAAGCTGGGCACATATCGACAAGCTGCTAATTTTTGGAAGCCTCATGGTTTACATCAATAGTTCTGTGAATCCTTTACTCTATGCTGGAATGAATGAAGAATTTAGAAAAGAATTTGGAAGAATTCTTAGATGTCAGTGGAAAGAAAGACAACCTGAACTACGATTAGTATAGTATCGTTGACATTCATCACTCTTTAAGTCAATCTTGGGTCGTATCACGTTTCAGATAGAGAAATTTTCGTATGACTTTGAATAATGATTTCGGTCAGTTTTTGTTATTTGTTTCAGACTATCAACAAATGGATGGAAAGATCAAAACATGGATTCTTCCTTTTCCCACCAAAGAAAACCCTAATATGGGAAGGCATTCTTCGATTACCCAATCGTGTTGCAGTATGACGTGAAAGCGAAGTATCGATTGATATCTAGAAAGTTCTAGAGAATGAAGTTTTTTTACGGGAGCGTTTGCTTGACCAACCAAAAGCAACGTGCGTTTGTGTCCGTTCGTTTGTTGTTTCTGTTTTGTTCGCGCGTTTTCATTTCAAGGTCATACGAAAATCGCTCTAATCCAACACTGAAAGCAAATCATTATGACATAATTAGATTACAACTGGAAAGAAACGATGAATTGGACGACGAGGGGTATGCTCGATTACCAGTCGCTGTTCGGGAAACGAGCCCGCGCTCGTCTCTTCTCGTGGAGGAACAAGATCGAACCCGAGAGGCTGGCGAACCTAGTTTGGAGGAAGGGTATGGGTAAGACCCGCTTGCAAACTAGACTCAAAATTAATGGCATTGTGCCAAACTTTTGTGCATTGTGAACACCTATTCGGCCAGTCGCGGAGGTAAATAAGAAGAAGTGAGGACTGGAACCCACTGAGAGGAAAGTAAATATTTAGGAGTGAGGACTGGAGTTTAGTGGCGCAATGTTTGATGTGTTTGAATGACTTGTGCCGCCCCGGGCCGTTCTGTTCATACTATACCGACCGGATAGCTTTTCGTGGCGCCACGAGCAAGGGTGGCAGACTCGTACCCAGTCGCCATTTATGTGTTTTTTGGGTGAGAGACGATTGGGGGTTAGGTTGAGGCGCGCGAGGGGTGTCATGGGAAGGACTGACACCCCGCGCCCGCCTCAACCTAAACCCCAATCTTCTCTCTCACCCCAAAAACACATAAATAGCGACTGGGTACGAGTCTGCAAGGGTGGCACAGTGGTGAGAGCGCTCGCCTCCCACCAATGTGGCTCAGGTTCGAATCCTAGCGTCGACGCCATATGTGCGTTGAGTTTGTTCTTGGTTCTCTCCCTTGCTCCAAGAGGCTTTTCTCCGGGTACTCTGGTTTTCCCATCTCCTTAAAAACCAACACTTTCGAATTCCAATTCGAACTGAACGCACGGACACGTTTGAGCAAGTTCTTATGAACTCCTTAATGCTCCGTAGGTAAACAAATTACAATGTACAATTTTTTTTAGCAATTTTTTTTCTATCGGGTATAGTATGAACATTATAGTCTAAAGCGGGTAATTCTATCTTCGAATTTCAAAAGACTCGTGCAGCACGTATAACTCAGTAAGTGGTTGTGGACATTTTTATTAATTCCAAGCATTCTCAAGACTAAATTGTTTCTTTTTACAAAGAAAACATTGAAGAAATTACATCCGAAAAAACAGTTTCTCTTTAAGGAACTCCTGTAAAATCTACAAACTCTATTCTGACCTCTCTTTCTACCGTCCCAGTTTATTTCTTCCCCGGGCATCCGGCTTTGCATTGGGCATTTTGGTCATAGCAATCATATAAGCAGGGAATTGTATTGTGCACGCACCGCAAATCTACACAGTCATTTTTAGCCAATTCACACAGACCCACGCATGACGGGGACGGGATTGCTTCTACCGTACAGATCAAAGAAAGCAGAAGAAGAGCACCAACAACAGTAGTTTTCATCTAAAAAAAAGGAAGAAAAAAAAAACAGGTTAACTTAACGCTGCCCATCGAGGGAACTGCGTGGACACAAGAGAGACTAATGAGTCACGGGAAAATCTTAGGGTGTTGGTCGGGATGTGTGAATTTCACTTGAGTTATTTTAAGAAGATGTTATTAAAAGGAAGTCGAATTCCCAAGACGCCCCCACATTTTAATCGATTGTTTGAAACGTCATCAAATCCACGCGCGACTCAAAGCAAGCAATGCATTGTAGTGGCGACTGCTGGATTCTTTCTGAACAAACACTGGACAAACGTGTGCAGACTTCTCCGGAAACCAACTTTCGATGGACATCAGTAATTATTCAAAATCAGCGAAGGGGCAAATTTGAAGAGAGTGGGTTACGAAAAGTTCACATTAAAAGAAGAAATGGATCAAATTGTGTCAAGTCAGTCAAGTAGCGCTGATGAACTTGCTATCCTCCTTTCCGAAAGCAAGATCCTAAAAACCTAAGCACGGCGAGGCTTTTTAAAAGAGGAATGCTGTATCTGATTTTAAGCTTTGATCTTTACCACCAGATCGTTCGTTTTAGGCCACAAAATTGCTAAAGCGCTTCCACAGCGTCTCTGGAAGTAAATGTCCAGAGAAAACTATTCAAAAAGGAGCTATTTTAGAAGATCGGGAGGGTATTCTAGTTTTGTCCTACTGCATTCTGAAATCTTTCTGCATCCATTGCTCAATACGATGAAATTGAAAAGGTGTAAGTTGTTTTAATTCGTTATTATTTTTTTCCAGTGGTGATTTCCTTGGAAACGTGCACAGTTCAAATAAACCTTAATGTGTCAAATTTTACGCTTTAATAGCATCAAGATGAAAGATGTTACAAAGTAAATCTGAATGAAATTCTATATCCGCATGAGCCTCCCTCGTATTTATAGATGTAAGTCGTTATTCTCTTTTCTAGCTCTCCTGTCTCTTTTGGCCAAAGAGAGGAAACATTTTGGTTAAGGCGACATCGATATAAGACATTTTCTCTTGCCGAAAACCTTAAATGAATTGGTTTTTAATTATTTTCAGTTGAAAGATTACTTCAACTTGATGGAAATAACCTCGATGCAAAAAATGAATAATGAAGGCAACAACGCCAACATATGAACGGATAATCAAGCACTCTTCTTCAGTTTTAATAATCATTTTCTTTCATTTCAGTTTTTTTTTCCTATGGCAGAGATATGGAGCAAAGACTCGCCTTTGTCTCGGGTGTATCATTTCTGAACATTTCAAGCGACATCTGACTAACATCAATTTCAGTCATACTGAGTTAGTTTTAATTTTGATGATCGCCGGTAATATTAAAAAAGTGAACAATTTACTAGGTCACGTACGTTGAGTTTGAATTTACTATTGAAGGACTAATTGAAGATTTTTGCATTATTGAATGGTATTGTAGTATACGAAAACATAGACAGTGCGGCTCTATATATCGGACCAGTAAACTGAGTTACATCCTTGTGAATAAGTCAGGGCCTAGGGCACTGGAGTTGTCAGAAGGTGCAATTCTGGATGCAGTCGAGAGCTATGAGAGACTGTTTTTACCGGATACTGTATAATTTTCTGAGCCGGGAGCTATATTTCAAATTCAAAACGTTAGAGTGGCGGGATATTTTTCATCCAAACCGACCTAACTTTCGAAATTGTTCCAAAAACCGGGCGCGGTCCTGTAATTAGAGACCTAAAATTTCGAGGATTACGAGGAGATTCAACTTAAACTGAGCTAAAAAAAATCAAAGTTTCTATATTTTCAGTTTATTTTAAGTAACATCTCAACAAAAGATGATGGTAGAAACATGAGGCACCTCCGGTTAATATATCAAGAAATATCTCCTGCTAATACGTGAATTAATACATCTTTGACTTACCTTTAGTTGCCTTGTACCGTTTCAAATAATATCACAGTGGTGTAAAGTACACTTTTTTCGTTGAAGATGGCTATTTCCTATGTGATTGCCTGTTTCAGTGATCTGAGTTTGCGATTAATAACATCTTTATAAGGTCATCACCGGAAAAAGAAAACCGTATTGCTCATTACGCTTAACAAACCTTAGAAATCTGTACGTCAGTTATTCGTCTAAGGCATTGAGTATTTTGTGATAATTAATTTTGATCCGTTACTTTACTACTAAAATAGTGCTTTTAATCATGTTGCGGCGGCTTTTCGCTATTCATGACCGCCATTACAAATTACAAAAAAACACATTTCCCGAAATTTTAATCTTAAATCATATAGATAGCAGAAAATTCGCAAGTTTTTAACACTTAGCTGATGCCCTCTAACAAGCAATTAACACTCCCAAACAATATTCTCTTCTGATATTTATTTTTAATCAAACGATCGTTGACACTACGGGAAAAAGAACTACTATCGTCAGTTTAAAAGCTTTTAAAGTAAAAGACATTCTCTTTGTATTAACGTGGCAGTCTTTTAGGGGAAGTAAAACAAGCGCTTAATTGCTGCAATAAATTCCCTTTTCACCAACAATACAGACTTCCGCGTTTCCAAATCACCGGTGAGAAATTAAACTATAATCTCTCTGTTTTTAGGTTCTTAACCTTGTTTGTTTTTCTCAGTCTAAAAATTCTTTCTTCGCATTTTTCATAAGAAAGCTCGCGCTTCTTTGGTTTAGCATAGTCGTTATGCCATACAAATAAATACGTTCCTGACATAAGCGGTCAGTTGCGCAAGTTATTTGGCCTTCGTCATTGCATGAGACTTTACTTCATTTTATCGCCTACAGAATTTATCTTAGTTGAACGCATAAATTGTGTGTACTTAACACCTTATAACATCTGTACGAGATGAGATTTACTAGCAGTAATCTTTTTAACATTTAGAAATTTAATATTGTTGCAAAGATTTAATAATCTCAATTTAATACAAAAATAAATTCCGATTTTAAACCTTAAATTGTCATCGTTAGTACATCAAATTCCCCTGTCATTATTTCTTGTTTGGCGGTAAACCTTTCGACGAGGAGAATGAAATGAACGGTGTAAAAGACATTGTGCAGGGGCACCCAACGTCAATTTTTGGAAAATATCTGTCCGGAAGACGATTTGAGATCTAGAATTTTCGGGATATTTGTTGTAAAATTTCTTGTTTGCAGGCCTCTCCTAGGATTTTCGAACATCTAAAAAATGGTATAATTGCCCATTTTTAACGGATTTTTACCCTAAAAAGGTCACCTAGAATTTTCGGGAGCCTTTTTTCTGGCTGAAATTTTCGAAAAGGTAAGTTTTGATCCCTATCATTTTCGGATCACTAGACTTTCAGCTAGGAAATCAGAACAGATGAAAAAATTTTTAGGGTATAAAAATATGCCTATATCTACCGTTTAAATACTAAAATACGTTCAACAACGCTATGTTTGTGTGGTTTTGAACTATATTCTCGCTGGGTGCCCCTGATTGTGAATATTGAGACGTGCAATGGCAGATGCTCTATATATTTCTTCAACATCTGGGAGGTTCCTCTGTCACAAAAAAATGATGTTTTCCTTATAGAGACTAACACAGATATGCGGGCGTATATCCTTTTGACTACTCAGAGATCAAAGGTTTGAACGCAAACCTTCTACGAAGATCACTTGTCAGACTTTTTTCGTCCCTTCTTCTTCCTCAGTCTTACACTTTAATATTAGCCTGACCAGGTCACCAATGCGATAAAATTGGATTTTTAGGGAGAATATCACGAGTCACCCTCGTCTCCAGGGAGCACTGGAGACGAGGTTGACGAGACACATTTCAAAAAGCAGCTGCTATACTTTCCTAAGTGACCCAAAGTAAATTTCCCAGGGTATTTTTTTAATTGAAAGCCCGTCCAGTTGACTTCGGTTTCCAAACAGAAATATAGACTTTTAGACCTTGTATCGTTAAATGGTATTGGTAGACTTTTGTTTGTGCCGGCCGTGAGAGAGATGACAGAGTTTGGAAGCCTGTCCAACAACACTCGTTTCCAAGAGAGGATAAAGTCGTTTCTTCATGAAATGCATAGAAAACTGACCAATCAACACAAACACAGACAATTCCGTGAACCAATTAGAAAATAAAACAGACACTCTTGCGTACTTGTTACCTTGATGTTGGTTTTAATCCTGATTGGTTAAAACTCCCTTCTGTCCTCAATCCTTCCCTGCGTGTCCTTCGACTTATATTACTTTATAGGCTTTCAGCGCCTTTTTAATGCACTTTGGATGTCTTAATCCCAAGGGGAAAAGACCACTCGAACAAAAGAATGCTCCAGTAAAGCTAATCAGAAAGTACTTTCCCTTTTGCCTCCAAAAAGAATTACTGTTTTTCGAGGATAACGTAGGGAAAACTAAAGCGGCTTGGAATGGAATTAATACATTATTATCGCGAAAGAAAAACTTTGCTCCGGTGTCAAAATTGATTATTGGTGACAAGGTGATAACTGACCCTCATGAGCTAAGCAATGCTTTTAACAGGCATTTTGTCGATATTGGTCCTAACTTAGCGGCGAACATAAGTCCCCCTCGAGTCAGTTTTCGTGATTTTGTAGAACCGTGTGATAGCACCTTCGAGCTCGAATTACTGACTATTGACCATGAGATCCTTCTGTCAAAATTGGAGCTGTATGGGTTTAAATGTGTGAGTCTCAATCTTTTCCGAGACTACCTCTCAGATAGAACTCAGGTTACAGTTATAAACAACATAAATTCCGAAACTAGCTTCATAAGTTGTGAGGTGCCTCAAGATTCAATCCTCGGCCCCCTACTATTTCTATTATACATTAATGATCTCCCTAACTGTAACCTCCTATCGGAAGTGGGAATGTACGCCGATGAGACTAATCTCACGTTTGCCTCCAAAGACCCTAATGAGTTGTTTTCATCCCTGACTCATGATTTGGGCAATCTGAAGCAATGGCTCAATTCTAACCGTCTAAGTCTTAATGTCCTCAAGACTAAATGTCTGTTTACAGGCACAAGGCAAAAAATCTCTTTGCTCCCTAGCGATCCACTTATATCCCTCGACGGGCATTCAATTGAAAGAGTCAATAGTTACAAATGCCTAGGCGTTCAGGTTGATGAAACACTCTCGTGGGAGGCTCACATCTCCGAAGTCAACGGTAAAGTTGCAAAAGTACTAGCTGCCCTGAGGAGGCTAAGACCAATATGTCCCCAGAGTACCCTTGTCACTATTTACAAGTCATTGATTCTTCCGCATCTCGATTAATGCAGCGCTGTCTGAGGCTGTATCGGTAATGGTCTCAGCCAAAAACTAGAGAAGCTTCAAAACGGGGCTGCACGCATAATTACAGGGTCTAGCTGGGATGCCAGCTCTGCCCCGATTCTGCATGCCCTTAAATGGGATAGCCTCGCTGACAGACGTGCTAAGCAACTGAAATCTTTAATGTTTAAAACTGTAAATAACCTTGTACCCGAATACCTGTCTGATAAATTCGCCAGCATTAATACCATTCACAGGCATAATCTTCGAGGTGCGCAACATAACCTGTTTATTCCGCGACCGAACACTGAGGCCCTAAAGAAAAGTTTTCGTTATAGGGGCGCAGTAACATGGAACAGCCTGTCAGCTGAGGCTAAGCAGGCCACTACTTTAAATTGTTTTTAATTCCGCTATTGTACATTAAGATTTTCTTAGTAAGCATTTATTATAGGACTTTTTCAATAATGTTTGTTATTTTTAAGTCTTAGTTTAATGTGCACGGCTCTTTAGAAGACCACTTTTTAGTGATAAGGATTCCGTGGTTAAATAAAGTTATTACTTACTTACTTTGCGCGATACAAATGTATTTACATTTCTGTCAAGGAATCTATAAAGATTAATCTAAGTAATTCAACCCAACCAAGTTGCCAACTCGATAAGATTTTATGACGGATGCAAGGCGTGTTCGCGTTCATTGCAATAAAAGAGAAAGAGAGAAAAACAATGAAGATGTAGTTTTCAGCTTGACTAAGCATATTGTCAGTGATTACAATCCAGGACTTTTGTCTGGCTAATTAACTCCAAGATTATTCCACGTAAGCACACTAAATTCTATGTACTCGATTCTTTTACACAGTTATGTAATGGTGTCATAAAATGTCATTAGTCAGGGTGATTAGTGAAGAGGCCGGCTCGCAGTAACTGATGCCAGTTAAATGAAAAAGGACTCGGCTAAATAAACAGATAAACAGTTTTTAAAGGGCGTCCAGATTCAGTTAATACCACTTAGAAGAGACGAAATTAAAACTTGTACATCATGTTCAAGACTATTCACGTGTTGACTCAACCTGCTTTCCGGTTACGTAACTAACTATTTCACTTCTGAAAAACTGTGAAGTCGAAACTGGGCCACGAGGTTATTTTGCAGGAACGATATATCGCCAGCTCCTAAAGGCTTTGTAGGTAGTGAAACAAAGTTGAACCCAGTCTCTTTTCTGCAATAAAATGATAGACGGCTGTTTTCAATTCTGCCTTGTCATAAAACCGGAGCGAAAAAGAACATATGTTAGCTCACGTGCATGCCTGAGCTCACGTGACTAACCAGGCGGCAGTTAAAGAATACGTTGGGTTCAACAAACGATATGAAAACGTTGCATAAGTCGAACTATGGACGTATATATATAAGTAGAAGCACACTTGATTTGGTTCAGTTAACCACACACGCGCTTTGCAACCGGTCGGGTCAATCCTGCACCTGCACCACGCTGAACTGCGGGCGGAAAACATGGCTGTACAGACACAAGAAAACCAGAAGGTTCTCTTCTGCCCCGTCGGCTCCCTTTTTTCTCTTTCTATATCCGAACCTCTTGACGGTCAAATGCTTTCAGGATGTTTCCAGTTCAGCAGCGAGGTGAAGCCAGGATGGATACAGTACGATCCTAACAAGATCACAGTGATCACGTCTAATGAGATGTTTAGTCCCGTGTACAGCCTTAGCAGCATTGTACAACCAAAGAAACAGATGCTCCAGCTCGTGACAGAAGATGACGTCTCGACACTAAAGATTCTTCTAGAGAAGCCAGTCTTGCTCTGTGTTACCAGGCGACATCAGTTTGACAACCCGATCGACGTGTCACCAATGGACACAGATGTCTCCAACAGGTGTACCGTAAGCGGCTTTGATATTGACTTTGCGGTCGTATTCCCTCCGGCGCTCTTAAAGGATAAACTGAAAGAAACTCTGGAACTCATTCGCGTTTACATAAAAAAGAAACGTAAATTTTGCGTTACCATCGACTTAAAACAGGTCTTGAAGGAGCTAACTCCCCAAGAATTGCAAGAGAGTGACTCAAAGGAGTACGTTTCCTGGCACAACACAGCCTTTTGGCTTACAAATCACTGTAAACCGTACCACTCTCTCATGTACGTCAATACGGTCTTGTTCTGGACCACTTTGTTTCCTTACGCGTTGTTTGTGGCTTTGCCGTATCGTGCGGGACGCCGTCTTCTTTGCAAAGATAAACACCTAGCAGTTCGTATCCCGATGAAGTTCACGTATGGGCATGTAGATGACAAAGTTGTGGTGTTTTTATGGACAAATGACCCTCCCCCACCCGGGGAATACAACAGGAATACAAACAGATTCTCTATAACCGCTGCGCATTTGAATTGGCTACGACCATTCCTACGGGACTCTAGCTTGATCACATTTGACTTAAACGTAGATAATGGAGACGATTAAAAAGCGAAAATTTCAACTCTTAGGCATTTAATTGGTAAATGACAGGTTTTGGTTTGTTATGAAAATGAGAAAGAAACATTTTTCAGAACATAATTGTGCCCTGATATTTCTATCACCGTGAATTTTCCAAGTAACTTCAGAATACTTGGCTACTTGTCGGAACGCTCAAAAGAACGAGGCGTGACACAATAGGTACTTTTTGAAATAAATAAATTTGAATACGAGATTATTATAGTAATGAAAACACCAGGGACAAAAGAAATCCATGTAAGTGAGTTAGCTTAATTCAGGAAGAGTACGTGCTTATGTATTTTGTTTTCTTGTGTGTGATGTTCCTATTCAGGACGAAAGGAATTTTTAGAAGTAAACTTATTTAAGAGCATGACGTTTTGTACCAAAACAAGACGTCTGTCTACAAAAGCTTTTTGTACTTTCAGTCATTGAAATTTGAATCTATCACCTCATTGTCGCTGAATACTAATTTTTTATCGCTGCGGAGTCTGTGTGTGCATAAAAGAATCCAAAACAAAACTATGAAACTGGGACCCCTATTTAACAGGATCATTTATGCCTTAAGTCGCATCATTTCTGTTTTTCATCACAAAAAGAGATGTAAGGAGTTTCCGGTGGCAGTTTTAAACTAACTGGCTAAAGATCGGTTCTGGCTATTAAGTCCTGAATGTAAGTGACTAAATTGAGCGATTATAAAATGGATGTAACAGAAGTGAAAATTGAACTTCGTGTTGTGTAGTTTTGTGCCTGAAATCATACGTCGTGGTTCCCCTCTTTCTATTAGACATGAAGATGATCGATACGAGGCAGTAAAAGTCGCAGCAACAGGTTGTAACAAGAGCGGATGAGGTATATAACACACATTCCTGTTACTAAACTACAGTCCTGGACAAAAGTCCTTGGGACAGAACTGCAATATTCATATTTTTCTGTCATTTCTCGATTCCCTCTTAAAACAGTGCATCCTTTTCGAAAAGTTCTTGCAGTTCTCCCTCCCTCCACCCTATAGAAAGTTAAAACTCGAAAAAATTCTCGATACAAGCGTCCAACATTGTTTGTGGGGTGTGGGGAGAGGTTGGACCTGTGTGAATTGGAAAACGCCCCAGAAATGCAAAAGTGTCCCAAGACTTTGTATTTCAAATCTCACTATATCAGCTGATCTTCACGGAATTTTGTTCCTGAAGAATCTCTACACTTAAAAAACCACAGGCCATGTTGTCAAAAACACTCTCTGTGAACATCACAAGACCTTACAACTTTGCTATACCTTAAAATATTTGGAAATTTTATATGTGAAAGGCCAAGGCAACCTCCAAAACACAACAGTTAAATATTAATTAATGCAGAAGTTAATATTTACTTTAACTCTTGACTGACTAAATTTTCACTAAATAACCGTCAAGCGTCAAAGCTACTACCCCATTGAGACCCTCTGTCTAAGCTAACTGGAGAAAATGCAGTTTCCTAGTGGCGGGTTTTTGCTGTGTCAGGGGCCCTACGAAGGTGCTCTGTGGTACAGATAACAAAGTAAACCACTTCCGGCGATTCATGATCAGTGCCGTCGACCACAAGACGCGTTGTTTTCGGTTTGTGAAACAGAATTTATGTAACAGTGCTGGTGACCATCACACTGTAAACGTGTTTGCGATCGCTAAGTCGTTGAAGGTGTTTTTTCAGCGATTCAGATTCAGATCTTTGTGTTTGCCGGTCGAAACTTAATAAATATTTATGTTCTACTTTAATTGAGCGCCAAAAAATTACATTGATTCATAGATTTTTCCATCTTCAAAAATTGAATCTCTCCACAGATTCGAAATTAGGTGTTGAAAGACTAAGAAAAAAGTCAGTTTATCCTTGACAAAGCAAGATATCAGAATTAAACAAATTGACGTCTTGCAGCTCACAAATGCATAAAAGAACATTCGCCGTCTGTCAAACCCTATCGTAAGCATAAGACGAAGTTGCATGTATGGAGGGAGAGATGAAACAATATCTTATTTAATGAGTTTGTCCATAAATATACGATTTTTTCCCTAGATTTTTTCATTGGACATAAGCAAGACATGAAATCCATTTTAACGTAGTACTTTTAAAATTTTTGCTAATCGGGAATAAATTGTAATTAAAGTAAACAGAACCTTAGCGGAGGTTAGCATTTTGGTGGTAGAATATAACAAGAAAAGTGAAACCGTTTACAGTTTACAAAGGAAAATTCTTATAGTCTCTGCCGACGTACATTCTTTCATGAAAATGTTATCGCTTACATAAGATCATGTTTAACAGTAATCAGTTTAATTTCAAAGGCACTCACCTTTCCAAAGTATGAGTTTTCTCTGATCTCTCAAGTTTATGAAGTTCTTGTTTTCCGATTTCTCTGGTCTCTCTTCGCGTCCGGCTGAATGAGGGGATTGAATAGCGTACAATATATAAACCCTCACGCTGCCAATTATTTGTACCTTTAATCGGAAATTTCTCTTTAATCATGTAACAGGAAAACCAACAGAAAATGCGTCGGAAAAGTAATATTTATCCCTTTGTGTAAATAAGATATTAGAATTTAAAGCCTTTTTTATGAAATGACGAAAAAGAACGATTAAAATCAAGAAAGAGATATTACTTAAATTTCCCACTTCTTCTCAAAGTCGATTGAAGTTGATTGAAAACTCTTTAAAAGCAATCGAGCCAAATACGCAGAGGGGTTTCATTTCGTTATTCGCTACTAGACAGAATTCCAAGAAAGCTGTCAAAGACTTTCCATGCAATTTAATTTTCACCAAAAACGAACTGTCAGGGGTAAAAATGAAAACGAAAAACATCTTTTCTCGAGGATGATCTAAAATTTTTCTTTTTGCAAGACAGTAACGATCTCGTTGTATTGGCTGTAATAACTTATAGTAATAATATTGTGGTAATAGTATTATTAAGATGTTCAAATCAATTGAAAGCTAATAAAATTGCTATTTTAATCTCACCAGTTAAAAATACGCGCATTAAAATAGTTTACATCCTGACAGAAAATTCCAGGTAATTGACATTGATTTTGCAGATTATGTAGTATGGCTGGTTTTCTTGATCTTACCTAATTGCAGTAATTGTATCTGACACTCCTCTTTGACCAAAAGGATTGATCAGCAGTAACAATGCAATGTTGGGAATTCCGGCTATTAACAGAGCATATAATCCACTTTTCCTAGTGTAAGCTATGTTTTGAAAAGTATTGCAAAAATCTTTTTAATTCTTTTGAAATTTCTATGAGTTTCGCTGTGATCATAGAAAACAACGCTAATCAGCCAAAATTACACAATTGCGTTGTTAAAAATTCTGTCCAATAGACTTAACTTTTAGTGAAATGATTTAATCCAGCTCATTAAATAATTGCCATTTAAAACAATTTCATACCTCCAGTCTTAACAAGTTCAGGGATAAAAACCTGAATTGTAAGAAATAATATGAAACGTATCTTACGGTGTTTTTCGGATAATTTGTAGTATACGAAACGAATTCAGTTATCGAATGCGTTCCACTTCCGTCCAAAGAACTTATTAACTAATGATTTAATCTCGGTCATTCAATCATTGCCAGTAAAAACGATTAGATTCCGTACCTCTAGGCTGTGCAAGTTCAAAGATGAAATCCTGAACCGTACGAATTGAAATGAAATTTCAGTCCTGCACTACCTGTTGGATGGTAACGCCATAGTAAAATATTCAACGAGGTCGATCTCACATTTAATCCTGTTGTTACAATAAATCTATGAAATGTGTTACCGATCGTTCAGGAATAGACAATTACTGTGCTGAAAACTATACAAACGTAACTCAGTTAAGTTTAATTTTCTCCACACTTGGAAATCTATGTGAGAGACTTATATGTAGCAACTCTGATAAAACCCCACAAGTAAATTACGTTCCTGTGGTGTTACATTGTAGGAAGCAGTTCTAACTTTTGAGACAGTGGTTTTCCAAGAAAAAAAAGAGAATTTTGCCTTCCCTGCAGTGATTAAGAACCTTCTCATTCTCTCGATCTGCTTAATATTTATTTATTCATCTATACCTTATTGTGTGCTTTAGTTTGTTTTCTACTAGTCGACCATATCAAAGATGATAATTTTTTCCCTCGTTTTCCTTCTGGGCCCAAGCTTGTCAAAAAGAGAGAAGATAAAAAAAGCTACTAAACACAGTGACTTCTGAGCGTCAAGTTAAAATAAAAATCGTACTGAATTTGATGACGACATGTCGAATACCGACGACAGAAATTAGAACTGTTTCCTTTGCATTATAACTAAGTAAAAAGTTAAACTCATAATTGCGAGACGCTGCCATCTAGAAGTTTCTGAAATAAAAAGAATAAATAATGATAATTGGGACGCATCGTCTACTATCAGTGAAGTTTCTGATCGTTTGCAGCTTTTCAAAATAACCTGTCATTATCCGCAGGAATATTTATACTAAGCGAATACATCATATTTTCTAGAGCAATCCATATGAAGATCTGTTACATCCCAGAAGCAAAGCAAAGTCTCAAAGCAACACAAGGATATCACAAACTTTAGAAGAAAAAATGGTTCACTAGAGAGGGTTCGAACACTACATCTCCTGCCTGTGTATAATACTATACGACACATCTACACTAGGTAACCCCTCCCTTGGAGGCACACCCATAGTAACATTCTAAGCGTCTTACAATTACATCATAACCCCTCAAATGTTTCAGTAATGTGAAAAATATTCATAAGTTCAGCGCCAATTTTGTAGTACTGAGTTCCGAGTATGAGTCTCGTATTGGTGGGGGCTTAGGAGTAGGCCTTTGTGTAAGAGACGTTAGATTGATTTTAGTTGAACCGTGAAACAGATACTAACAAATAGGGCAAAATATCGAGGGGTAAACATGAATAGAAGACAATAGATTTAGTGCATAATAGTGCGTAGTATTCTACTACCTATGACTGTTCAAGTAAAATCACTCTAAGGTTTAGCCTTTTAAAATCGTTTGATCTGAGATTGATGGTAAAAGATTTCAGCCAATGTGGTCTGAGATCTTCTGATCGCTGGCGTTCCTTTTTGTGTACAATTATTACTGGCTCACCAGATTTCAGCGTAATTAACGCGTTAAGTAAAGACTGGAAACAAGGCTGAAAGTTCAATTTTGTATTCCATCACACTTGTATAAGAAAGTCGGATGTTTACAGTATAGATCTATGTTTTTTTCAGTTTCAGATTGACAAAGTTAAATTGGTACTTTTCTAATAAATGTTGTTGCATGATTTTTATATTCCTCAAGGATCTGCCTCCTCCTACCCAGATCTCTCTCTCTCGTCACTGTAAGTTTAACTCAAAGGATGGGAGAAACGTAAAAGCTGAGATTGTATCTTACAACTTCCCTTGTTTTTAGTTATCTCAGCCTCGACAGGTCACCACGATGAACAAAGAAAACTACTACCCTAGCTCTAACAAAATGGGAATGTAAAAGTTTTCGGAGAGCGTTGTATATCGTCGCGTAGGTCCCGTCTCCCGAGAATCCCTTGTCGGAGCCTGCGAACGACCACTGCCTTGAAAGTGGTTTCTACATATGATATACGTGAGTATAAGTAACATACGCATGCTTAAAAGCGTTCTGATCGCTTGCATTAAAGGCCAATAACTGAAGAGGTTTCGGAGAGGTTCGTGTATCCTCGTGCAGGCTACGCCTCCCGAGAACTCCTCGTAGAGCCTACGAACGACCATTGCCTTGAGAGAGGTTTCCGGGGCGTTTTCTATTTGTCAGAACTGACTCGACCAGCCCATTCCCATCTTAATGAGAATTTCACTTTTAATCAAAACTAACCATCCAGATCAGTCAAATCCAAAATATTATACACGGAGATGGTTTTTCGGCTAAACCTCTTGGGAAAAGCCTATTTCATTGCTAGAAAGTCTGGTCTGGCCATGGTCCAGCCGGCCAGTTTTGACTTTTGGAAAGCGCTCTAACATACGATATGAGTACATGTTGATTAGTACCTTTCTTAGGGCAAGACATTAAAAATAAGATACTGCTTGTTGAGCTTTTTTATTCTTCCACTGTATGTGTAAATTAAACCACTAATTGAAGCTGCTTTAAGATATGATACAATTAAGTTGTTATAATGATAATGCTATAAATATTCAGTCATTAAAATAGAAATGTACATTACATACTGTACATATTGTTTGTGCCATTTGGAGCGAAACATTAATTTTCGGAGTCGAATACAAATGAGTTAAAGAAGATACTGACGTGATCAAGTCTCGCTAAAAAAGACTCCAAAAAGTAGAATTTTCAGAAACATGACAAGATAAGGCCATTTACTTATTGTGAGTTAATAACACGTTGTTAGGAAATTTGACTTATTTTTTGCATTAAAGGTATGACAAAATCAAATTACACTGAAGCAAGAGGCAAAACACGGCAACTCAGATGTGCGGATGACAGTTTTAATTTTGCGCGCACCAAAATAAATATGTATTATTAAGTAATGCACCCTCTCGGAGTCGCAGACATCTTTGACAAGACTTTACTTTCATCTTTAGGGAAGAATCGAAGTTTAACAACGCTTTGACGAAGCGCAATATGACCCCCAAGACGGCCTATACTATACCCCTTGATTCCACACATTGGTAGTTAATCACCTAGGCGTCTCACATTCAAAGACGTTTTTCAATTCACTCCTTAGTGATCTACTCTTCCTGTAGGCTCGATTTCCGCCGTCTCCCGGGTCCGGTCTTTGATCCTCCCCGGGGGGGATGAGTGCGGGCTCATTTTCCCGAACAGCGGCTGGTAATCGAGCCTACTCTTCCTGACTCTCAAGGAGAGTGTTGCCTGCATGTCTTAAATACAGTTTCTGAATTCTCGCGTGAGTGTAAGGCTAGAGAAGTCGCCAGAAGTTTAAGTCAAGCCCTTCTGAGAAAGTCTACCTCTCAGAATAATTTAGGTCTTCCTTCTCTTTAAGCTCGAGTTTGAAGCTCTTATATTTATTAGTTATTCCCAAAGTCGAAAGACACAATATTACAGTCCTGAAAAAATGGTTTTAAATCTGACACCTTTGCTGCTCGTAGCGAGAAATAATTTGCGTGTTTTTTGTACGAACCAGGCGGTGGTCTCTCCGTAAACCACACAAATACTGCGACGGTGTCTTTGGACTCAGCCACAAACGTCAAAGCAGTCTTTATATCCACGTGGGAGTCTTTGCACAACATTTTACGGACTGCTCTGTAGGGAAGCGCAACAAAAAATGAAAATGGAAAAAGAACGGTCCAGAACAGGAGACCATTGACGTACATCAGTGAATGATTGGGTTTGCAATGGTTTGTGAGCCAAAAGGCTGTGTTATGCCATGACACATACTCTAGCGAATCGGGGTCTTGTACTTCGGGAGGTGTCAGCTCTTTCATCATCTGCTTGATGTCGATCATAAAGCAGTATTTACTTCTAGCAGTGATTTTCTCGCTTACATTTCGTAAGATCTTATCGAGGAGTTCCCTGAGAACGCCTGGCGGAAAGATAACAGCAAAATCAATGTCGAAACCGTTCATAGATCGGAGTTCTCTTTCCAAGAGATTCAGTGACAAGTTTTCCGTCACCGAACTCGAACCGTCAGTTTGGGCAATGTTCGGACAGTTCTGCCGCCTTGTGACGCACATCAAAACTGGCTTATCCAGCATGCTCTTAAACTTTAAGAGATCAGATTCGTTCTTTACTGTTACCATCTGCTTGTTCAGGTCCAAAATATCGTCACACTGAACCAATGGACGCAAACTATCGTTGCAGGATATAACTGTGATTTCATTGGGGTTGTATTGAATCCATCCTGGTTTCACCTCCTCCTCAAATTGAAAACAATCCTGTAACTTGTGGCTTTCTCTGAATTGTTTCTTGATGATATAACGACGAAGGCAAGTTAAAGGGCAGAAGATAATTGCTTTGTGCATCGCTAGTTTCAGTGAAAAGCACTTTGTTTAATGTTCTTCTACTCCGTTTCTGAACTTCGCTAAATCGTCGTGTTAATTAGGTTACAGATGTTCTGATACCATTACTATATAATGGCTCGGTCGTGGTATAAGATAATTAAAATTACTCTCAGAGTTGTTTACTTCAATTTCATGTGGAACTTAAATCCCAATGGGTTTTGGAATCATTAAACTCTGATTTAAATAAGAAAGAAAAGACGATATTGGAAGCTCGTGGATTTATTTTCCGCACGAATGTTACTTTGGTGATGCAGTAAGTAAACGAGTTTTTCGAAGTGAAAACCGCGTTCGAAAGCATGCCCAAGATATGTCATTGAAGCGAATATAAATAAGGTTGAAAAGCTATTTCGCAATTTATTTCTTTTGTACATATTTGTACAATCGGTGTTTGGTTGAAGAAGAGTCTCGTGTTACTTTTTCATCTAATCAGAATAGCGCGAGAAACTGTAACTGCAGATTTAAAGGCCCCGTCCACACATACCCGGATATTTTGGAATCCGCAACTTTTTCTTTCCGGATTCAAAACTGTCCACGTCCACACGTATCCGCATTCAAATCTAATTTGCCCGTCCACACGTATCCGACATGTATCTAGCCTATTCCAGGCGTCCAGATAGTAGAGTGCGGTGGTAAGTGGGGAGCGAGTAAGTTGTACACCGGGAAAACGAGGGGGGGGGGACGTTTTTTTTCTTCGTGAATTTTTCTTCCGCGCTCTACTATCTGAACGCCTGGACCAGCTAACACGTATCCGGATTTACTCTCGTACCCAGGACTCCTCTGGGAATATTGGCAACAGAGCATGCGTCGTAAAGCGCATGAAATTTGCACCTTGCTCTGCATCATTATCTCTAGGTGTCGACGGAGCCTCAGTAGATCCTTAGTCTGTGGCATATTTGTTTGTTCCCTCCACTAACTATGGTCCTGTTGCATTTTTTTTGGAGGTCCTTTGCAGTCAATGTTCACTCTTATCGCCTCAGTTACGAGGATTTTACTGTTAGTTTAGATCAATTCTGTACTTAAGTCAAATTCATATAATAAATGGTTTTGTGAGTTTTGTAGGCATATCAGTCACAAAATTGAACTTTTTCAAGTTTGAATCCATGTCCATCCTTGCCATCCGTTGCAACAGACAACAGGAAACAGATTGAATGCCTAGATATAGTCTTAAACAAAAAAAACTGGACTCATTATTTTGGAAATTCAGTTGCGAAGAGAAGGTGTTACTTTTTAAAAGATAGCAAATTGCTGGTTTGCAAGTGACGTCACGGCGGCCATGTTGGTGGTCAAGAACAAAAGCATTTCTCTCCTTTGGGAACTAAATTCCATTTTCATGTAAATTCTTCGAGGAAAAATTCTACTGTATTGACCACCAACATGGCCACCTTGTCACGTGGTTTCAAACCAAGAATAGCCTGAAATGGTCTCTTTAACATTTACAGATTGTTAAAGCTATAACTATAATTGATAACCGCTGTCAGATAAAAAGAGAAAAATCGAGAATGCATGCAACCAGCAGGTCTTGACGACGAGCGATGCTTCCCAATGACGAACAGTCACCGTTTAAAAATTGTTCACATTTGATTAACGTCAGAACAGGTCAGTGAAGGAAGAAAAATTCCCGTTACACCGATGAGTAAGGCTTGTGGCCCCAATTTACCTCGCCAACAACTTGTTACCTTTGTCATCAAGAAAAAAGCCAACAGAAAATGGTTTTCCTTTATTTAATAAATTTAGATGGATTAATGCACTTATATATTAAGTTGCACTTTTGTTCACTTACAAGACTTACAATAGAAAGAATGAAGAAACGGAGCCAACAAAAAAAATGCTTGGTTAAAGATACCTTTTAAAGGCTTAACTTACAGGTTTTAGCTGTTTCGGTTTCCTAAACAAACTGTGGGTGATTCAGTCGAAGGCATTCAGTTTCATTTACCTTGAATGCATTTACTGCTGGTCTTTTTTGTGGCAAAAGGGTAAATTTGCCTTACAGTTAACAGAAATAAACGATGTTAAAAATTGAACTAATTGATGTTACACTGATGTTAATCGTTTTTAAACGCAATGCACATTCTTGGCGGGCCATATAAAACTTAAAAAGTCTTAGCTGAACCCCACCCCCGCCGGGAGCTGAAACGATTTAAGTAAAAAGTAAAAACTCTCAGGATGACAACAGAGGCCAACAAAAAAACCTTGAAAAAATTTGTACAAATAAGGATTATTATGTTTTGGCCGTCTTGAAACCGTATTTGCCTTGAACCCTGACTACCTATCCCCTCCCCCACCCTAGATAAGTCTTTCTATAAGGTACCATCCATTCCCCCACCATCCCTCCCACGCCACTTGAGTTGTTCTGCTAGCTGCGGATTTCACCATGAGAGACATGTACGTGGTATGTTCGTTAACGAAAGTTCTTCTCCCGTTCATGTGAAGCGAGAAGTGAGTTTCTTTGAGTTACTTTAGTGGCCCAAGGGTTTCAAGAACGTGGTGTGCTGTGTGGCATGACTTGGTCATTCGACTGTTAGATCAAGAGCCCCACTAAAGGTTAAACGTGCCAGCAGTTTATTTGGATGTTACTTCGTTTCTACCTCTGATCAACCGATGCGGATCAGAAAGCACTATAAGCTGATCAATGGTAGTAATATTCAACGAAATCGTTTGATCTGTTTTATTAGATCTTTCTATCTCTGAAGAAAGTAATATTGTGAGAAGAAATCAACGTTTTTACAGTCACTCGGTGCTTGAAGAAACGTGAACATCGCACGTGGACGGAATCGCTTTTCTTTTCATTCATTGGAACAACGTAAGCTTACCACTACGACATCAATTAAACGGAAAAATGGTAGAAGGGGCAACATCTACAATGAACGTTGATCTCAATATTATAAAGCGGATGTGTAAAGATTTCACGGCTGGTGCTGTGGGCGGGACGGCCTGTGTTTTAGTAGGACAACCCTTTGACACTATCAAAGTGAAAATGCAGACTTTTCCATCACTTTTCAAAACAGCATTTGACTGTGGCGTTAAAACAATGAAACAAGAGGGAATCAGAGGCCTCTACGCTGGTACTATTCCGTCTTTGGTGGCCAACATTGCAGAAAACTCTGTACTGTTCTTGTTTTATGGCCAGTGCTTATCTGTAGTGAAAAAGATAGTGGGTAAACAGGATGAAAAAGAACTAGGCGTGCTTCACCGAGCTGTTGCAGGGAGTGGGGCTGCGGTGTTCTCATCCTTTGTTCTATGTCCCACAGAATTAGTTAAGTGTAAGCTTCAAGCTCAACATCAAATGAATGTCCTGGCTGGAAAAACCGGAGTCAAGAGGTAATTTTTTTATGAATAAATCTGAGAGTCGGGTCACGTTGTTTAGCATGGTTGTCATGTTGACACCCATGAGGGGCAGGGTACTTGTGTAACTGCAGCAGGTTAGCTCAGTTGGTAGAGCGCTTGCCTGCAGAGCGGGAGGTCGCGGGTTCGAATCTCACGACTGGACCAATACTCAGCGTTTAAAAATGACTGAGAAATGAAGGTACTGCCTTTGCCCTGCAAATGGCTAGACCTTCGCGTGGCTCGGATGACCATGTATAATGGGGGTCCTGTCTCCAATAAGAAACGTAAAAATCGGATAGTGTCCCCAATTAGTGCTTTCGAGCTAAATACATTAACAATCAAAAATAGTGGATTGTGTGTGCGTCAGTTTTGAGTTTGGACCCTGATTTTTTAAAAAATTCATTCAAACAGATACGCCATTCATAGCCTGCAGAAGAGGCATTTTTCAGGCAAACGAATTATGCACATGCACAATGGGATAAGACACGGAAAAAAATAATGCCTGTCCATACCCCATTGTTTCCTCCCCCAGTCACACATGCTAATGAGCAATGAGTCAGTATTTTTTTCTGTGTCTTCCTCTGTCACACATGTCTCACACTGTATGCGTGTTTCATGCTTATCTTTGCTCGACAGAAAAATGTAAAAAATGATGCCTGCTCTGCAGGCTACCCATTCAATACACTGTGATAGAGCACTAGTCATTTGAAAGTTTCTCTACAAAGTTTAATACCCCATCCAAAAACTGGACAGGACAGCTGGAAATCAACCTCAGTGGTTAAAATGTTGACTGAGGAGAAGTTGTTCCAACAATACTTGAATATGGAGCATTTTCACTCATGTGGTCAGTGGCTATGTAAATTTACCGGAACAAAAGAAAGTGTTTACACTGGAAAGGAGTTCAATTCTCAGTGGTTGGGATACCCACATGCCAGGCGTGATGTCATGTGAAAACGGTCTATCTCTGGTGAAAATGTTTTGAGGATCTTTGAAGATCCTTGAAGATCTGCATGAAGATCCTTTTTATAGTGCAGATCTTTGAGGATCTTTATTAAAATTCCTCAAAGATCTTCAGAATTCTTGCCAAGATCCTCAAGGTTCTCATAAAGGTCTTTGAGGGTCCTTGAAGGTCTTTGCAAGTACCTTGAAGATTTTTGTAGGAATCTTTCAGATCTTTGTCCAATCTTTTAAGATCTTTGGCAAGATCCTCACAGATCTTTCACATATCCTCACAACTCTTTGCAAGATCCTAGGGGATCTTTTCAGATCCTCACAGATCTTTGTCATATTACCCTCACAAATCTTTGTAAGATCCTCACAAATCTTTGCCAGTTCCTCACATATCTATGTATGGAAATTTTTTCATGGCTGAATTATGGCAGTATAAATGGATTAAATTAAGAAATCAGTCTCGATTTGAGTTCATGGGAGTAGATTACATTTGAATTTGCCACTTTAAGGCAATTTGCCGTGAATGATTGTATTGCGTCTTAGTGTAAATTCAAAACATAAGGACAAGAAATTCTAGTAAGGTCTGAGGCATGTCTTAAGAGCTCATTCGTCCCTATTTGACTCTCCTTCCAGTGGTGTTATGCAAGTGACAATGCAAATTATCCATCAAGATGGCTTTCCAGGTCTCTTCCGTGGAATGGTCCCTACACTTATCAGGGAAGTACCAGGATATTTCTTCTTCTTTGGAGGTTACGAGTTAAGCCGGTATCTTCTTACTCCAAAAGGAAAAACTGTTGACGAGATTGGTGAGTATTTATCACTTGTATATACCTGAGTGTCACAAACATATTTACAAGTATGTGTGTCAAGTTTTTAGTTGATAGGGTAACAGTAATAAATTGGACATCATAAAATGGTTCAAAAGCCGCCACCTTGTTTGAGTTCTGTTTGTTTTTTGCACTGCATTACAAGTAATAGTTTATAATGGTGGTATACCACACCCTACCCTGCCAGCAGAGGCCCTTCGATCTTCTGCCTCTGCTCGCAGGGTAACTACAAACCAGGGGGACAACTTCCCTATAAAAGTGACAAGGGTTTTCAACAGAAGTTTCAATCCCCCAACCCCACTTTCCTCAAAATCTCATTTTATTGGTGTGACCCTCATGAGGTCCATTCAATTCCAAAACAACAAAATAATTAGCTGGCATTAACCACTGACCACGTCGCAATATAGAAGATTCAAATAGCAAATAGCTCCCATCATAATTTTAGTGAGTGCTTTGTTCAGGATGCAAAGTAATGTTTATTTCTTTTACAGGTGCCTTGAGACTAACTATCTGTGGTGGTATGGCTGGTATTTCTCTCTGGATTGTTATTTTTCCAGCAGATGTGATCAAGTCTCGTATTCAGGTATATTACATGATTACATAGAGGATATTACACGATGGCGCGAAGATATGAATTTTATTTTCGAGTGGCAAAACAATATTTTACGAACGAGCGCAGCGAGTGAATAAAATATTGTTTTTGCCACAAGAAAATAAAATTCATATCTTCAAACCGTCTTGTAATGTCCTTTTTATTATATAGACAAAAAGACATCGAGAAAATAAGAGAGGGAAATGACCGAAATTACGTCATCGATAAACTCACGTGTAAGATTATGGAAAATAAATCACTCAGGTCCCAGATGTAGTTTCTATGTATTTTACGAGTGGTATATTTTCCAGTAAAACACTCGTGTCTATATAATAAAATGAGTTGTTTCCTGTAGTGTATTGCATGATGTCATGTGCAAGTACATATTATCAGTTGCATATTATGGGAAATAAAGTTGAGTTGAGCAAATGGCTGTCCGTTAGAAGTTGCTTGTTTTCTTTGTTGTATTGCTCCTGCCATTAACACTCTTCATTTCCAAACATTCTATTACCTGCAGTAACTGGATTCTTGAGGTGCTCACAAATGAGAGTTTTGACTGTATTGAATTTCTTTCGTCTATAATATCAATACTTAAAATAATGCTAAAGGAATTAGTTTTAAGATAGAACAGATGCACATTTTGATAGATTTTCTTTTCTCCAGGTATTAACTCACGGATCTGACAAGGCGCCTGGATTCTTTGAGACAATGTTTAGAATAATACGCAATGAAGGTTGGTCCTATTCAATCCAGTGTTGTGTACTATTTTATAACTCAAGGTTACAAGTTATAATAACAATCCTGCTCATGGAACTGATTGTTCTCCAAGACGACAGCTAATATTAAACCACCAAAATGTCTTTCAAACTTAAAATATGTGTTCTAAGTACCCATGTTGTAATACGTACCTACCCTGGCCCGGCACAAGGAACCACCACTTATTAACTAGTTATCTGACTGATATGTATTCCATGTGCTTGCAGAGTTATTTCATTAAATGAATTAACTTTACACACGGACATGGGAGACACAGATAACTGAGTGAAGTTAACACAGCCACAACAAAGTCTCTATTTGTTGAAGTTTTACTAAAAACATTATAAGTGCCCTTTTTGACTACGTGCCCAATTTTTAGTGAAAATGTGAGGTCAGCACCTTGATGGTTACTTCATTATTTTGACAAAATAAATTAGGTACTGTAGTCATATGATTACAGATATCCTAAGCTTTTAGGCAGCTTCTGGCGAAGTGCAATACTGTTTGCTAAAAGTATCCTTACTTGAATTTGAGCTTTAAAATACATTGCAAGAATTGGCCATTTACTATTGACAGGAAGTCTCTAGTTAGCTGTTTTCCAGAAACAACTGTGTGTTGAAAACAAAACTTATACCACAATGATAAAATCTTCAAAAGAGTTTAAAATGATACCATATTCTAGACCCAAACGCTCTGATTTATATACCCTATCCTAGAGTAAACTCCTTAAAAACCATACCCTTCACAGCGGCAACCCCCACCCAGGCGTGTAACAACTGTGTGTTGATCTCTTTAACAGGTCCAAGGGCTTTGTACAAGGGGTTGGGACCAACCTTGGTTCGGTGTTTTCCAGCTTGTGGTGCTCTGTTTGTGGCTTATGAAGGAACACAGCAACTGTTAGTCAATGTGTAGAGCACAGTGATTTATTTCATTTTAATAGAGAGTGGTTAAACACATAGACCAAAAAGTCACCTTCAAGCAGGTAATTGAGGTGGTTCTTATTAGTAAATATCCAAGCTTATGTAAATTTATAACTTAGTTAGCAATAAATCGTTGTGTACAGAAGTATGTAAAACTGACAACCATTTTGTGCCAATTTTTCTCTTTTGTATTGGCTATCCACCATAATTAAAGTTAGGGTTCAGTTCTTAAGGTCAACACATGCAGTCTTTTTCACCTTGATGGAGGTGTTAATTCTTTTGGTCATGTTTTATAAGCTACAATCTTGCCAAATAACTCTTATGTTATTTTCTGTGTTGTTAATAATACCGGAGGTGAAAAAGGCATATCCAGGGGTGGGGTGGAATAGGGAACATTAGCTGTCTGTAACTTCTCGTCTGGGGGACATTTTTTCCTTTCTACCCCTGGGGTGCACCCCACTCTCCCCCTCCCAGTCAAAATCTTGACTCACCTCTAGATGTTGCCACAGAGGCATTTAAACAGTTATTTATTATAGAACTTTCCAGGAATTCCTGGGCCGGGTTCCACGAAAGATGGTTAAGTTTAATCCAGGATTAAGCCAAATTTCACGCAAGGTTTTCTCATCTAAGAACATGCAACTCGAGGCTTCAAAATACTGTTGAGCCTTCACTGCGAGATACAGTAATGTTATGCTAAGCAATGCATAGTAATGTAAAATGCAAACATGGAACAAAATTTTAATCCTTGATTAATGCTAATCGGCCTTTCAGGAACCAGGCCCTGGTGGTTATAATAACTCCTCTCTCTAGGGGGTCACAGATAAATTAATTTACAACAATAAATCTGGATCGCAGTATGTCACTATTATCATCTTATCTTTCCTCTAGCAATAATTATTGTGCTAGGTGCTTGGCATCATGCATCATCAATTATTTAAATCTACTGACAGTCAGTTAGGTTGGTTTAAATAAATGGAAGTTGAACTTCTTTAAATTTTCCAGTGTAGGCATTATTTAATATAATTATATATATTATTGCTGAGATGTGTTGCTTTTTAAAAGGACATAAGGTTTCAGTCGAGTATTATAAAAATGTACCTCTGGGCCGGGTTGCTCAAAGCTGGGTTAAGATAAGCCAGGGTTAGCGCGAAATTTGCATTCAGATATGAAAGCTTAAAAAGTTAATTCAAATTAATTCTTTCTGTCAACAAGTTGATGATTGGATGCTCTTAAAAATAACAGAGAAATTTGTCAGAGAAAATGCTTTCGAACAAAAGAAAAAGAAACCTGGGTTAAATTTAACCCTGGGTTAAGCACTAATCGGCCTTCAAACAACTGGGCCCAGAATTTTTGGTTAGTATATTTTAAAGTTATTTGTGCTTGCAGACTACAAGAACCTGGCAAAAGAATTTTTATAGCCCGTCCAGAATTATACCTTTGTATTGATCATTATTATTAAATTATATCAAATTAAAGTTCAGAGGTAGCACCCCCTAATAGTTTTAGATGTTAGACTTGTACATGGACCCTAGTAGGTGGGGGGGGGGGGAACTTAACAAAAATTTATACGGGGAGGCTCTGCCCCGAGCCTTTTACAATACCATTTTTCACGAAAAAGGTACCTTCTATTGAAAAATGTTGCCCCTTTCTCATACCTTGTTTAGAACTTTGTATCCCTTTTAACTCCTGTCAAAGTACTGTCTTTTAGATAGGAGTCAATCACAAAGATAGAACGATTTCTCCACTTTTTAAAGCCATGAAATTCATCTGTTGGCCCTTTTGGGCCCTTTCACAGACCTAAATGACAGATTTTCCTCCCCTTTTATATACTTCAACAAGTGAAATTCCTACCCTTTCATATACCTGAAGCCTGAAAAGGCAGCCATTTCAGCAGAGCCTCCCCGTATAGGGCCATCATAGGGAGTACTCCCCCTGGGACGTGGACTCTCTAAAAGTTAGATACACATACAGCGTGTTCATTAAGCATCAGAGATCAGAGAATTCTCCTGCTAGCGTTCAAGAGCCTATGACTATTTTTTATTCAGACGTGGAGCCTCTTTCGAAATATTCACCTGTGACGTCACACTTTTCTCCTGCTACTAGAATTCTTAATGAAAACCCTGATCATATACACTGAAATGTTCATGACACTTTTCATCTCTTAATTTTAAAAATAAAAAAGCTAGGCATCTCTCTCTTACCACCTCCCCACCCCCATCCCCAAAAGAAGGGTGGAATGGGGAAATGTTCTTAAGGACTGTAATGTTCTTTTATTATTTGGCAAATCAATATTATTAAAAACACAATTTGAGTAAGAATAATCTTATGATAAAGTAGCAGTTACTTAATATATGAAATTTTGCAAGCAAGGTCTTGGAATTAATGTTACTTACTTTTACATGGGCTCATTTCATACTGTAATAATAACTTAACAACTGTAAGTGAGACTTATGAGCAGTTATTACTTCTAAGTTGCACTTATTTGCATCAAATTTTGCTGATCTTGTTCGTGTACAAGAGTGAAAGTTTTGCTGCTTATTTATATTGGTTATGAATGAGTGATAAATGAGTCATTTAATTTAAACAATATCTAAGCAACCATATGGACTATGTATGGTATTTACAAAAGTTTGATTTTGTATGAAGATTACTTTATACTTATTTGTACAACACTTTTATTTATAACTTTAACTGACAAAATTTTCAAATCTGATTGGCTATCAATTGTCCTGATTTCAGCATTAATAGGACAGTGTAATATGACAGTATGTGTCATGCCTAAGTAATTGGACAGTATGTATATGTACCATCACGCGCACACTTGGTTTTTTCACTTCTAGGAAAATAGTCACATAATAATCACAGAACTTTAAGTCATCCATTGATTCGGACTGTAATCATACTTGTGTTTAAACAAATTGGACTCCCGCTACACAATCGTCAGATTTTGAGTTATTTTTGCCCACTGTAAGAAGTTCAGAGAAACCATAATAATTTCTGAGCTATGAATAAAAATGTTTCCATTTTTTCATAAAATGTTGTTGTTGTTGCACACTTTTAACAAAATATTATAACAGTTAGAATATTATTATCCATTCAAAATACTTCACCATTTCTGATGGGCTCAAATCCTCCAGCTAATTCTTCATAGTTCTTCATTGACCAAATTTATCACTCTGGTACTCTCTCTTCCAGTTCTTGCCTGTTTTTCTGTTTCATTCCTTCTCTTTTTGTTGTTCCACGCTAACAGGGTTAGGGACAGGATTTACTGGGGGCACTGCTCCAGATCATATCTGGCTTTCTTTTTCTCCCTCTCTTCACTTCTGCCTCTGCCTTGTCCTCAGTAGCCGAAGATCAACTTTGGGGGGACATTTTTGTGTAAATTATAAGGAAAGTGGTGGTGAAAGGAGTGAGGCGACATTCCTTTGTTTCGTTTTCTTCCCATCACTCTCTGTACGTAATCTGTACTCGTTCCCATCATACCCTTCTTACCGCTCTCACTTGTTCCATACACTAAACCTTGGGAAAGCACATGGAGGGGGTAGTCTCTGCCTTATGATAATGATTATAAGTTATCCTGCCCTGAGTACAACCATGGATGTTGAACCTGCCCTAAGGCAACCAATCTACGCAGCAATAGACCTCTTAAGCCTGTTACGTTATGTTTTCCCAATACAGGTCATGTGATAATACTCCAGAGAAGTTTCTTTCAAATTTCGTTTTATTCATGTGCATATGTACATATAAATTATGAAAAGGGTCAAGCTCCCTTGGGACCTCTATTGGGAAACAAAACATACTAGCTAAAGAGGTCTATAGTCACGGTTGTCCTGTTGAAGCCTAGCCTGTGAAAACAGCCATTTCTCCTCCCTTCTCACCACTTAGGACATTTTGCAAGTAGAGACTTAGGACATTTTGCAAGTAGAGACTTCTGTGCCTCAGTGACAGAAGTTCCATACTGATGACGTAAATTCTGTCCAGAATCTGGTCAGGAGCTCTTATTTGGGTTGACATCGTAGCCAAATACCATTAAGTTCAAATGTAAACGCGATTAGTCTATTACAAAACAGTCAATACTCGTGGAATGTTTTCTTCTCAAGAGGAAGCATTTGAGTTTTGCAGGAGCTCGTTCATAAATGAACACAAAACTTTATCAATATCGACCAGGAGAAACATAAAATCTAGCAAATTTGCATTTAGAACCCCATGACTTAGAGGATTAACTACCTAAGCAGAGATCATCAGTATGGAAATCACCTAGGTGCAGACTTCTCTCCTGGTGAAACATCCCAAGTGGGAGGGAGCAAGGAGAAAGACTGTTTTTGTAGCCTGGCAATGTTAGGTGTCTCCTTAAAGTTTTCAGATGGGTGAAAAAATATAGCACGTTGGATCCACTTTTGTCTTGAACACCTATAACCCTTTAAAGTCAAGGCAGGTCAAGCGTACCCCCAAGTTTCTATTAATTATAAATTAATTACTTGAAAAATGAATCAGTTAGTCATTCCCATAACTAGCATCAAATTCAAATCAGCTTGACTGCATGCATAAGGAGCAGGGAATATTTTACAAGAACTTCTCTGTATTTGGTCAGACTGGAAATCTTTAAATGGATAAAATTGCTTCAAAGACATTTTAAATCAATTGAGGGAAACTGAGCTGGTAGAAATTTCATAACTGCCTGGTGTGTGAATTCAAGGCTCATTACGCATGCAGAAATACAGAGATGAATCTGAAATCTACAACTCCCAACTGATTCAACTTTCGAATAATAAATTCATTAATGACATCTTGGGGAGTATGCTTGACCTGACTCGACTGTAAGCCTCAATATCCATTAACAAATTCTCCATTCTGACTTCCATACTTTTCCTTAAAGAATCAGTTAAGAGAATTTGTTAACCAGTCAAGCAATTTTCCTTTGGTGGTCAATTAACTCTCGGGACTTTTTCGCCCCGGGGGGGTACTTCCTTGTAAGAGGCTAATATGGATGTGCCGCTGGATGGGGTTGCATTTTCACGTCTGTAGTGACTATAATAGGGTCACATTTTCAATACAATTTCTAGAATGGGGATGCACATTTTCTGATTTTTGGACTGTAGGTGAGAAGTAGAGTGCTCATTCATTATAAGGCAGATACATAAAAAGAAAGTGACTAAGATGGGGTCTATAATTGGCCACAGAATAGACTTTAATGGGGTAGGGGCTCTGAGAGGCCAGTGGCACATACCCAGCGAAAGTTAACCCAAGTACCCCCCAGTTTTCCTCTCATTCATGTTATTGTTAGGAGAAAGAAAATTGATGTTGGTTAC